AAGTTGCGGGGAACCGGTTAAAGGTACAGGCTTCATCAGCTGATCATAGTGTTTCCAGAAAACAGGTAATTCTTTCATATCAAGCACAGGATGTCTCTGCTTATGAACACAGAGTGACCACAGCCCCAAAGAGCCCAGCTACCGGGACACAACCTTAATATCAAGTATGATTTTATGGGTTTTATTTAATCCAGTCATGAATCTACACAGTCTAGATCAAGGAATGAATTTTTAAACTCTCTCTGCAGAGTTTCTGGTTCATAATATAAAGCTGTGGGCTGCTGAGAGGACATGGTGTCCACAGTGTCTGACCACAAACAGGCTGCTGTTCACTGCTCTATCAGAATCTAGTCAGTTATTTGTTTCAGTCATTCTTTTTCATTAAAAATGGATTTGAAGTTGCAACATCTTGTCCACTGTTTCCATCTTGTCCAGTGGTGTCTGTCTTGATGGTTTTTGTCATGATAGTAAAACTGAACAGGCCTGTTTGGTTGGATAAAACAGTCCTGAGAACGTCTCAACAGTGGGACTATGGTGTGTAGAGGCTTCAACACACTATGAAAACAGATTCTGGGGGCAAAGTTGTAGGTTTATTCTAAACAAAATTAGCCTGTATTAATTGTGTGGATGCTGAATCGGCAGTGCACAAGCTGCATTAATATGTTCAGACTGGTGCCTTCACAGGAACTAAATTAACCAATTTCTTACTGTGGAGGACACAAAATTGACACAAAGAAATCATTTATGAAAGCTTAGCACATGCCAGTCATAAAGTCAATTTTACAACAGAAGAAATTCATATTAAAAAGCCCAAATGTTGAGTTGTAACATATGTTTTCCAAACACAGCTGTGTAGAACACTGCAGCACTGCGACACTGAGTACTGAATAATCTGTTGTATCTGAACCTGTCTATAAAAAAACATCACAACCAAATGTCTCTAGCTCATGTCCATGTCCTCTGCAGGGCCCAGGCCCCCTCCCTGGACACTCTGGTAGATGGACACCATGTCAGCATTGGTTCTGATCTGGTTGGCGAAGTCGGCCATGCTGGGGCTCCGCTCCACCTCGGGCACGGCCAGCAGGGCGACGACAGTGCACATGGCCGAGCGTCTTAGCATCTCCTGCTTCACCGAACCGGCCTTCACCTAGAGGAGGAGTCAGGGTGGGGGCTCATTTCAGTGCAGTGGGAATTATTGTCACACACTTAATATTGAGAAGTACAGCCTGACTATGTGTATTATACATTATACAGGAAAAACTATAATATATTCCGTTCTGACCATCATTTCTGTCAGTTATGGTAACATTTTATTTGTTGTGTGTCTTGTTTGCATCGATGCTACGCAGCAGCCCTAAGCTCAAGTCAGATCAGACAGGTCCAAGTGACCCTTCTTAAGAAGCCCCAACCACCTGAGTTCTGTGTAGCACATATGCAGTTTTTGATGTCAGGAGATCTTTCACACAAACTTGATTTCAGACAGCAGGAAGTAAAAGCAGGTTGATTTATAGCTGAAATGGTCAGAAAGTAGCAGATGTTAACATTAAATAAGGAGCAAAAAAAACTCTGCTATGGTAAGATCTGCAATACTGGATTTGAACTGCATCTGGCTTTTTCAAACATTACCTGTAAGTACACCCTCGTCCTCGGTGTGTACTATAACCTAAGAGGTCACTGTTTCCGGCTAATCTGTTCCTTACTAGTCTGCCTTTGTGCTTTCAACTGGACCGTGGCTCTCTGAGGGAGGGATTTAGGGAGCAGTCAATAATCTAAACTGCTTTTCCAGGTGAAAATATCCATTACACCAGTCAACTGAATTGTAAAACAGTACGCACAAACAATTGTACAGTACAGTACAAATACAGTACAACAAAAGTACAGTATGTCACGGAAGTAACTCTATACAATCTGAAAATCTTGCATTACAAGTTGTAGTTCACATTTCTTTTATCTTCAATATGAGGACTGTCTACAGGACAACTAAACCCTGTCTGAGAAGCCGTGTTTGAGAAGCTCTGTGACTAATGTAAAGATGAGTAG